AAATGGGACATAAAGTGTGTGAAAAGTGCTATACACTCACTCTGATTTGACCAGGGATCATGTGCTCGGTGAAAGCCATCACCCCCTGCTGTTCAGAAAGGGAAAGAGACTCAAAGAGGGAGGAAAGAGGAGAGAACCTCCACCAGACACTCCAGTTGTGGATGTGAGTGCAGTTGCTATTTTGCTTAATGGATATATGGCTGAATTTATTTTGCTTTATGATTTGACACTTTTTCAGTTATTTTTTCATTTATCATTCTCTCCTATTTATGTGTCATTGGTCACAGCCAACCATCAAGTTTGAACAGCAGCCATGGTACATTGATGACACAGGGGGAACTTTGCACCCATACCAACTGGAAGGCCTGAACTGGTTGCGATTCTCTTGGGCCCAAGGAACCGACACAATCTTGGCTGATGAAATGGGGCTTGGCAAGACTGTGCAGACTATAGTGTTCCTGTACTCACTCTACAAAGAGGTCTGGGCGCCAATTGAACTTTTTTTCAAATGCATTTGAGAGAAGAAGGGAACAGAGTGTAACTGAGTTGCTTGTTTTAGGGTCACTCCAAAGGGCCCTTTCTGGTCAGTGCGCCACTCTCCACCATCATCAACTGGGAGAGAGAGTTTGAGATGTGGGCTCCGAATTTCTACGTTGTGACTTACATAGGGGACAAAGACAGCAGGGCTGTCATACGTGAGAATGAATTTACCTTCGAGGACAGCACCGTCAAATCAGGTCGTAAGGTTTTCCGCATGAAGGTGAGAGAGTGCTGTGGACTAACCTGATAGACATTTTGATGCCTTATTCCGTGTCCCATTCAAAACAGTATTTTGCACCAAAACCAAAGCTGATTTATGTCATTCTTTAACATATACCTGATTACATATTTCAGCATCCAAACAATTTAAAAAGCATCCTAATTTTTGAAAGGTTTCATTCAGAGGTTCAATGTTTCTGATCAGAGTTTCTCATCACAGAAGGACGCACCGATAAAGTTTCATGTCCTGCTGACGTCATATGAACTGATCACCATTGATCAGGCAATGCTTGGCTCCATTACCTGGGCCTGTTTGGTTGTGGATGAAGCCCACCGACTGAAGAATAACCAGTCAAAGGTACAGAATTCAAGGAAAGATTTATGACATCATCATATAAATAACAATTATGAAGTTATAATATACAGTATATATATATATATATATATACATATATATGTATGTATGTAGCAATAGCCAACAATACATTGACCAAAAATCACTAGGATATTAAGTAAAGATCCATGAAGATATTTTGTAAATTTCCTACTGTAAATATATCAAAACTTAATTTTTGATTAGT